TATTCTCCTTTATGATTTTACTTTTTAATCACATTTGATTGATCCATACATCAGAAAGCAAATTTCTTCATGTCTGTCTGTTTTAACTAAGAAATTCTCAAGGCAAATATAACAAGGTTCAAAACTCAATAAATAATAGACTCACCCCTTTAACGTTTTCACTTGATATATGATGTGAAAGAAGTAGTTTGTTATAAGGCTGGATACATACGGAGACACTTAAAGTTGGCACGATCTTTCATTTAGACACCTGAACTTAAGAGAGTTCCTATTGAGCACTTATACTACCCGAAACTTATTCCAATTGAGCACTTATTTGACAATCAACCAAACTTACAAAGTTTGCAATACACTCGCTGCTGACGTGGTGAATGACAAATAAAAAAATGACATATATTATTTTGAGTAAAAAAAAGAAGAAAAAACTATGTTAAATCTATTTAATAAACAAAATAAAAATAACATTCTAAAAAAGAAAAGAAAAGCTTAATTTACACCCAACCAAGAAAGAAAACATTTAAATAAAATGAGAATTGGTGTTCTGGAAATCAGTGGTCTTGGTGTTCTTCACTTTTTTCATGTGTGTTCTTGTTCCAAGCACGATTTTAATCCAAAGTTTTAAGAGAAAAGATTCCCCATGACAACCCAATATTAATTTCCCAAACTTTCATCAAATCAAATAACTCATTTTAAACCTTCAAGCTTTTTAAACACCCCATTAACGGTGTTTAGGGTTTAATCAATGGTTCTCCAACCCAGCGACCCATCTCTGCTTCTTCTTTTGCTTCTTCTTTTGCTTCATTTTAGTCTCAGTTCTCTGCTTCTTCTTCTTCATTTCAGTTGGGTTGGAGGCGGCTGGGTTGGAGTCCTGGCGGCTATGGCCTTGATCTTTAGAGAAAGGGTTTTTTTCGGGGATTGCAATGAGTTCACAAATTGCTGAAACATTCAGATCCCATATTTATCCTTTTCGTTTTCTTCCGATCACAAATACTCACCATTATTTTCGTAGCTTTGCTATTGTTTTTTTTAAAGCTTTGTTTTTAAGAAAATAAGATTTTGAAGGTTTGATTATACTAAACCAATAAAATAATTACGTGAATGGTGTTTGAATAAAATGATGGTGAGGAGTGGTGTTTAAGCCTTTCTGTAGGATAAATAAGAAGAGCGAGAAAAGATAAATTATTGAATTTGAATCTGGTATGGGATTCGAAAGAAGAAGAGGAAATGAGTCGGAGAAGATGACGGAAAGCGGAGGAGGCAACGGTGGAAATGGTGGTGGACATAAAGAAGAAGAAGGAAATAAAAAAACAAAAAAAAAATCTGTTTTTTGGGCTTTTCACGCGTCCATATTGGGTGAAACTCACTTTATGTGCCAACTCAGCAAGAAGTGTCTAATTGGAACAAAGTTCATGTAACGTACGTGCTCATTAGGAACACTCCTAAGTTCAGGTGTATAAATGAAATATCGTGCCAACTTTAAGTGTGTATTCAGCCTTGTTATATAGTAAGGAAAAGGTGGGACTTTCCCACATCGATGGTCTAAAGCCCCTTTATGGGCTTTTTAAGTTCTTGTCCATTTTATATATTTGTTATATATATATATATATATATATATATATTAAATACTTGGACTTGGGGCTTGGGCCGGTTATTAAATTAATAATTTTATTTTTTATTTCTATAACAGAAAATCTGTTTTATTTGAATTTAAAATTCAAATAAACAGACACATCTGTTAATGAAATAAAGTGTCTTTTCGGAAAAGGCCTGGCTTTTGCTCTATAAATAAACACGAGTTTTCCTACAAAGATAATTCAGAAAAATCTGCAAGTATCAATTTGTGGCTTGTTGTATCCTGAAGAAGATTGTCTGTATTTTTTCCAAATCTGTATACAGCCAATAACTTCTTTAAGGAAAATCGTTATCATGCCTCAAGCCTTCTTCAATTTCGTTTTCGAATATTTTTTTTTAACATGATGCGTGGCCAAAATGCTATATTTTTAGTACATTATTCGCCTTACATGCTGTTAGTTTAATGGTTAATAGTGCGACGTTTGAGCTAAATTGTGTTGTTTTATGTGTAGAAGCATCGAAAGACAAAGACGAATGAAAGTTGCATAAAGAGAACAAAAATACAAGAAAAGAGCACAAAAGCATCAAGTACCCAAACCATGCTACAGACCAAGTAAAGCTAGCTCTATAATATGCCTTACCATGCTACAGACCAAGTAAAGCCAGCTCTATAGCCAGCTTGACCGTGCTACTGGCCAGGCGTAGCCAGCTCTGTAGCCAGGCTGACCGCGCTATAAGCCTGGCCTTGCGAGGTCTATACCCCGATAATTAAAAGTCGTGAATTAAAAGATTCCGACCCGGATTTGGACTCAAGGACTTCAACCATAGCCTATAAATACTCCCTAAATATGTCTAAGAAGGGAGGGACGTTTTTAGAGCATATTCGACCAAAAAGGAGGACGTTTCTTAAAGCAGATTCGACAAAAAATGAGGATGTTTTTGAGAGAGGATTCGACCTAAAGAGACGTTTTTGGAGAGGAGGTTCTACCCAAGAAGGCAAGAACACGGTAGGAGCAAGGCGGAGAATTCTTTTACGAGTTTTTTTTCCTTCCTATTTCTATTATTGGTATATGAATTCTAGTACTGTACTTTTACATACTATTATGAATAACTAATTTGTTATCTAGGGTTTTGATGGAACCTTTTGTAGGATAAATTCTTGTGATGTTTTAATATAATTGAGCCGTTAGATTTCTCTACTTGTTTACGCGCTTATTGTCGTTGATTGAATGTCCTATTTAGTGTGTATATTGCTCAAGAGAGAGTATACATTTAGGTAGTTGTTGAACAACCCCAATCTTAACGTATTTGAGAGTTCAATACGGAGGTGGTTTAAAAGTTGGATTAGAGATAACGAAACTTTGGTGTGATCGTAGTGAGCGGTGAATTAGTGCCAGCTAGCGTAGTTCGAGAGAATACGTATAGTAAATTGTAGTAGTTGCTTGAGAGAGAGCTACAACACCCAAAGTACCCACGATCGGTAGAGAATACTTAGGCGAAATTATAGAAGACGTAGCGGGAAGGATTTCGATAATTGGGGAAATCATAACTCTAGACCTCCTTAATTTTTTCTTCAACCCTTAATATCTTTAGTTGTTAATCTACTACTTTAATTTGTTAGTTAATTAGATATAATAATCTTAATATTTATAATTTAGGAATTGTTCAAACTTGTCTTCTTAGTGATAGCGAACAGTTGTAGCTAAACCTTAGTTCTCGGTGAGATTCGACTTCGGACTTTAGATCAGATTATATTTGTAGCGATCGCTTATCCTTTTAGGACTAAAGTTGGGCGTGATCAATATATACCACCATATTTTTGTATATGAGAAAGTTCAATCATGATATGTGCCTAGCTCACACTTGCATTGCGTTTTCACCCCTAAATCAAAGCAATGTGGGGGTTTTTTATTTTTTTTTATTTTTTATTTTTTATTTTTTATGTGTGTCTCGTTATTATACTAATTTTATGAAAGAAGTTTAAGAGCATTTTAACAAATGAATGTTGTACTTATTATTTTAAGTTATTTTATATAATTCGATCTTCTTGTAGACACAAATTTAAAATAAATGACGCTATGTACAAATAGCTAGTACTATATTAAATGCACGTAGTTCTACCCAAAATTTTGATTTATTTTTTTTAACCCTTAAAATAAATTTCACATTGTATAAAATTATAATTTGATTATTTTCTTAATATTTAGGAGATTGAAATCAACTAAAATTTTAATTATTAATTTTCTATTATTTAGGACATTGAAATCCACTAAAATTTTGATTATTAAATCTTTTTTATTTGTATTAGTAGAAAATCCTAATATTTAAAACTTTAAAATTAATTAAGAGTTTTTTATTTGAACTATGTAACATAAATCTTTCCTAATTGTATCAATTTACGTGCACTTCCAATACTAATCAAGTTCCTGACTAGTGTTTGTAGTTCCAAAGTAATACAAATTTCACATGCACAACAACACTTAATTTGAACAACTTCGTAGGCTCTTACAAACTATATAATAAAGGGATATGTTGGCTCATGAATGCATCACACCACACACGAAATATATCATCCTCTCCAGGTAATTTTATTTTCCTTATCACATGAAATGTCTATAAGAGATTAATTAATTCCATATATCTCAATTGACAATATACTATATCAGCATGTTATCTTGCTTTAGTTGTATCCTTTTCTTCTTGTTGTTTTTAACTTTTTTTCTATCTTCAATGATGATTCTGCTTTTTGGTGATGAACCCCAGTTCTGGGTAAATATTGTGTATTTGTGTTGCATACTCGATTGAACTATTATATTTTTTATTTTATTGTTTTATATTGCATTGTTTACTAATAGGTTAATTTGCTAATGATTGCACAAGCACGGAATAATATTCTCTCATGCTTGAAATATAACTGAATTTCTTTCATTACATGAAATCTCTAGTAAAGATTAATTTCATATAATGTAATTCTTTTTAAAAAAGAATATATTCAATGACACTGAGTATACGCGTAATGGCTTATCTTAAGACTGTTAAGAAAAAACCACTTGGAATTGCATCCAGATGGTTATATATGCCCATAATCATCAACGAAACAACACTTGTTACAACTTAACTGCAAACAATTCGACAAATCCATCAACATAGACATAATGTTCAACGCATTAATTTATGAGCATTAAACAAATTTAATAAAAGAATCTCATGCAGAACTAATAATTAAAAGACTCCACAATAAAGAACAGTCACGGAATTCACAGTCGAAATTATATAGAAAAAACGAGAAAGTAAAAAAGACCAGAAAACTAAAATGGTATTTGTCCAGAATAATCTTTGAAAACATAGAAATTTTAAAATAAAATAATAACAGACTATAGATCATATACTTGTGCACTTGTATATCTCCCATTCTTCAATCTCCAAGCTTAAAAAAGTGTCTTAGGTTGTGTTTGGTCAAGATCAAAATCTAATAAATCCATATAGTTGCTGAAATCATCCATTGGTGGCATGTCTGGCAATCCGTCCCAAAATTCTTCAGAAGGTGGCCAACAATCATTTTCTGGAACAAGAGGAATAGATTCATCTCCTCTCATATGTTGAGAAGTAGAGCACTCTAATTTTGGATCATTAAAAGCATTTCCTTCATTTTTCACGAGACGACGATGCCCTGAATTAATATTTTGTTCTCCACTCAAATAAACATCACGTGGAAATACACTGGATATGTTGTTGTTGTTGTTGTTGTTGTTGTTGTTACTCAAATAAACATTCTGATCTCCTGTAACATGTGTATGCTGCACCACTTGATGAGGATGATTATCTACTATAGGATTTGCCATTATAGTTGACATAATATCAGCTGATGAAGTCTTTGTTTGGTCAAAATCACTAGCAGCAGTAGCTTGTAATTCATGGCCATTATACAAATAATTCGACTTCATGCCTACATTTTGAGGATCATGAGACGTGATAATTGTTTTATTGGTCTTGAATTTTCGCTTTGTTGATCGAAGTGGTTCACCATTGTTATGGTTCATCACTTGTTTGGGCTCAATCAAAGAATTTACCATATCCAATTGTTCGTTTCCTTTCCTCTTTTCCCTATCATGAATTCTGCATACTATAAAATCGTTGAACTGCACACAACACAAAGTGAACATAACCATGTAGTATATGATATTTTGGATATATATGAATATACTATATGTAAAACATATAACATGTCTATTTGATAGTTGGTACTTGGTACTACTATATGTTCATGAAATTTAATGCTATTATTATCAAGTCTTTCGTTTTGTGAAAAGTAAGCAAAGATTGACATAATTAAGAGGTAAAAAAATATATTGAATAAGAATACTCATCTTGGAAAAAACTATCTTATACAATCGTTAGTCCACCTCAACACCATCATGGATAATAAATAATGAAATTAAACTACATACACTGATAGTGTAAAAATATTTATATTATTTGTGCAGTTTAACTGAATTAACGGACTGCTATTCTATTTTTACTTATTGTTAGTGAAGAAAATATATACTATGTTATTATAGGTCAACTTAAACAACAATGTAAAAATTTATACACTATAGTGCAAAAACTTAAGCTTGTTGAATAGTACAGTCAAATCTCTCTATAACAGCATCGTTTGCTCCAAATATTTTTGGATATTATAGCGAAGTACTGTTATAGAGAATATTTATTATATAGGAATGTTGTTATAGAGAGGTCTGACTGATCATACCTTTTCTTCTGAAGCGTGCCGAGGAAAGAGACTCTTATTTAGTTCAAGCTCATGCATTATCCAATTTGTCTTGATATCGTTTTGGCCCTTTGGGGTTTTTAGATAGTAAACAAGTACGTTCTTTTTGCCAAACTGCAAGTTACCAGCAACAAATATAGGAGTGAGTTTGCTGGTAATTTTCCAATATCCTTTTCCATCCCTGGTACTTCGATCAGTCTTAAATCCATTTGGATATTTTCGTTCTCTCCTTGTGAAAAAATAGGTATACTTCTCTTCCGTGTCCATTCCTAAAGTTATAATGACAAAACCATTAACTAAAGCAACAAATATTGACTATTTTAGAGATGAGTTTAACTTTCGTGTACAACAATAACAACCCAGTAAAATCCCACAAATGGGGTGTGGGAAGGACAGAGTGTACACCGACCTTACCCCTACCCCGAGGGGGTAGAGAGACTGTTTTCGGTAGACCCCCGGCTCAAGAAGACGAAAAAAGAGACAATATATAAGTACTATATATTTTAATATTTACTAAAACCATATATATATATATATATATATGCGAGCCAAAATAGTAGAGGTGCAAGTATGACAGGACATGATCACAATTTAAATAAAAATAGATAGGCGGAATATGGAAATCAGTTAATCAGCGTAAGGACGAAAAGAGACATCCTACAATTCACAGAAGAACGCATACTATGAAAAAGAGTATATTATGCCACATAAATAAGAAGAGACCGAAAAGGGAAAAGTGGTCCAATTTACACAAAATCTAAGTTAACTATCGATGCAACAACTAAAGCAACAACTATGATTATTTCACGATGATTAGAATGAACAATATTACGATAAAAGAATTTAAGTTTTGTTCACCGTCTTAAAAAATAAAAGTGATATCCCCTAGTGACGTAACATAGAATTTTGTGCAAACAGTATCGATCATTATCACAATTCAACTTATTGTATAGGAGTTTTGGACGCGCTAGGGTTTTAATACTTAGTTTCTAGGTCGATACAACTTGCATAAAATCTAAGTACGTCACTGTAACTGTAACTATCAAAGCCATACCTGGAAGCTGAAAAGGGTTGCGTTCGTAGATGTCGGCGTCCTGTATTAGTCCAGGCGGTATAGATTCTCCTTTCACCTTCCAAAGTAAATACAGTAGCAGCTGTTGATCGTTTGGAACAAACCTGTAACCTAGTGGGTATTGTTCCATGTATTGATGAGAGCCTTCTTCTTTTTCTTCAGACATGGCCTGGTTTCTTTGTTTCTATGTGTAAAGTTGCCCTAGCTAATTGGTAATTTCCTGATAGATGATATTATTTCTATTTTTTTTTTGTTAGGATAGTTTGATAACTAGTGATGCGTACATGCTTTATATATTTGCGTACAAACTTTAGGCAAATATTATTTGATGTGTTTTAGTAGATTTAGGAATCCTATCTACGACATATTTTAGTTCTAAATTTTCCTTTCTTTAGATGGTTTAGATTAAATAATTATACACGTGGTAATCTTTTAATTAGTTGATGGTGTGATAAGTTTATCTAATAAATAACTTTGTCCAATGAGAATGCACAAACCTTAATTAAACTCTAGATAGAAATAAAATTATGAAAACCAATTTGTGATTATATTGCAAGTAAGGACAGATGCTAAGGTGGTTTTTATTACCACTGTTACCTTCCGCTGTCATCTCTCTTTTTTTTTTTTTTTTTTTTTTTTTTTTTTTTTTTTTTTTTTCCTTTCTTGACACGCACTCCTCCCTCTCTCTTGCGAAAGTTTCGCTTAATTTCATTAACCTTTTTTATTTAGGAAATAATATCAAATACCTCCTTTACATTAGTATCTTCAGAAAAAAGAGGACAATAATCACCCAGAATATTAAGAGGTAAATAATGGCCTCAAACGTTTTGGATTATAAGTTTTCAAAAGTTAAAAAAAAAAAAAATACAAAAGTATTTTTGAAAATCGAGTAAATTTCTTTTGAAGCAGTATGCATTTAACGTTTTGAATGTATAGACCAGTTAATTTTTTTTTTAAATTATAATGGTATGAGTAACATCTTAAAAGGAACGATCAAATCACATATATTCAATTTTTTAAAACTCTCCGTTAATCAAAATGAAGCTCTGAAGTTAAAAAGAAACCAAAAGAAGTGAAGGAAGCTATAGACTTCCAATTTCTAAGTAATGCATATATACTATTGCGCATTACAATATTTGGAAAATTACTCGTTATAGTCCACTGTAATTAATAATGAAGAAATTTAGAACTGTCAAAATAGACTTCGACAAGTGACAAAAAATTGCACGGCATGTCCCTAACGGGACTGATTTTGGCGGAATGTTTCTATTTTTGACATTCTTAGCGAAATGTTCTCGTTTTCTTTTTTAATTGAACACCATAGTTTTTCCGTATTTAAAGCTTGAATTCCTGTTTGATGATGGAATGTAGAAGGTTAACAATCCATTATTGTTAAAATCATTTGAATGTTGATAATTTCTGCTTAAATTTTTTGTTTAAATACCGATTATAACGACGCGATCGGTCGTTTCGAGAGTTATAGCCCCGTTTTCACATTTCCTGCTTCTTATGTGTTCTTGACTGTATTTTGACTTACCGGGTTAGTTGGTTTGGGTCTGGAGTGGTTTCGGAGAGGATTTGAGACACTTAGTCTCTTTTGTGAAGGCTTAAGTTGGGAAAGTTGACCTTGTTGACTTATGAGTAAACTACCTCGGATTTGAATTTTTATGGTTCCGTTAGCTCCATTAGGTGATTTAAGACTTAGGATGCGTCCGGAATGTGATTTGGAGGTCCGTGGTAGAATTAGGCATGAATTGGCGAAAATTGGAATTTTGGCAATTTTGGCCGGCAGTGGAAATTTTGATATCGGGGTTATGGAATTTCGGAAGTTGGAGTAGGTTCGTGGTATCATTTGTAACTTGTGCGCAAAATTTGGGGTCATTCAAACATGATTTGATAGGTTTCGACGTCTTTTGTGAAATTTGAAAGTTTAGAAGTTCTTAGGCTTGAATTCGAGGGTAATTTAGTGTTTTGATATTGTTTTGAGTGATTCGAAGGTTTGACTAAGTTTGAATAATGTTATGGGATGTGTTCGTATGTTAGGTTGAGGTATCAAGGGCCCCGGGTGAGTTTCGAGTGGTTAACGGATCATTTCTTGGCTTTAGAAGTTGGCAGATTTTCTGGTATTTTGTTGCAGAGATTTTCTTCATCACGTTCGCGAGGAGGCTACCGCGTTCGCGAAAGGTTAAGGTGAGCTAAGGAAGTTTTGCTCTTCGCGTTCTCGAAGAAGGGGACGCGTTCACAAAGGTTCAGGGGTGGAGTGCATCCGAACGCGAGAGAAGTATCGCGTTCGCGAAGAAGAGAAGAGGCAGCTGGGGACCCCAGGTCCATTGTTCTACACGTTCGCGAGGTTGTGGTCGTGTTCGTGAAGGTTGAGCTGGTAAGGCATCGCGTTCGCGAGGAGCGTGTCACGTTCGCGAAGAGTAAAGTGAGGAAGCTGTAGAGTTGTTCTACGCGAACGCGAGAGGGAGCCTGTGTTCGCGAAAAGTAAAATCTGTGCAGACAGTGTTATATTCAAGATCGAGGGTTTGAGCCCATTGTTCATATTTTGAGCTAGAGACCACGGATTTGGGAAATTTTTGAAGATATTTTCAGGGAGTTGATTGGGGTAAGTGTTCTTCACTTGATTTTGATTAAATTCCATGATTGTATCTTGATTTTATCATCTAAATTGGGAACTGGGGTGTAAAATGGGGGGGGGGGGGGGGGATGGAAGAGAATTGGAGAGATGATTTTGGGATTTGAATGATCATTTGATGTCGGATTTTGATGAATTTGGTATGGGTAGACTCGTGAGTGAATGGGCTTTCTAGTTTTGTGATTTATGTCAGATTCCGAGACATGGGCTCGGGGGCCGGGTTTGAGTGGATTTCGGAATTTGTGCCAAATTAAGTAATTTTTCTTGTGGAAATGGTTTCTTGGCCTATATTGATTGCATTGTATTGCTTTTGGCTAGATTCGGGGCGTTTGGAGGCCGATTCGAGAGGCAAGGAAATCGCGGAGTAGGATTTTGGCTTGGTTTGAGGTAAGTAACGCTTCCAAACTTGATTCTGAGGGTTCAAAACCCCGAACTATGTGTTATGTGATTGGTATTGGAGGTGACGCACATGCCAAGTGACGGGCGTGCGGGCGTATACCATAAGAATCGGGACCTGGTTCATTCCATGGCACAGTTTAGTGACTCTTTCTTGCTAATATCCGTGTTTCCATCATATGATTAAGTAAATGAGTTGTAAATCATGCTTGATATCATGTTAGGGATTTACGCCGATACTGTTGGGACCTGAGTGGTCGTTTCTTGCTGTCATCTCACTAGTTTCATAGATATTCTGTACTCAATCTTATTCATGCATTTCATATCATGTCCCAGTCTCAGTTGTTATTCATTGGCACGTCATATCATTGTTCCAGGCTAGTTTTCATGGCATTGTGAGCCCGTGTGTGTGAGACTGGAGAGTGATGACTGAGTGAGGCCGAGATCCTGATTATGAGTGACAGTTGTGGATCGGGCTGCACGCTGCAGCGATTTTGTTGATGATTATGATAGCGCTTGGGCTGTAGGACCCCCTCGAGAGTCTGTAACACACCCCCAGTGAGCGAAGTTGATATTATTGAGGGATGGATCTTCCCTGGACATGGATATTGTTTGAAACATTTAAACCTAGAGATAGATCTTCTCCACAGGGCTGGATTGGCCTTCCTCGATACTGAGTGACTGTTGTTAGTGATGTGTATATATTTCGGGATAGATCTTCCCTGGGCCGGATGGCCATATATAGTACCGAGTGGTTGAGCTCTTGAGAGTGGAGGTACATGGTACATTTTCATACATTCTCTGCATTGGCACGTAGAGATTAGCTGAGCTTTATACTTTACATTGTCAGATCTTTATTTACTTTACTGTTTGAGCTGAATACTTGAATTGAAAGCATGCCTACTTTTCTGCATAGTTTAACTCTGTTTACCTGTTGAGGTTAAGTTCGTCACTACCTATTAGTCTATAGTTTGGACTTGTTACTTACTGAGTTGGTATACTCACGTTACTCCCTGCACCTTGTGTGCAGATCTAGGTATCTCTTTCCATGGTAGTGGTTGTTGATTTACTCAGTAGCAGATCACCGGAGATAGCGAGGTAGCTGCCTGGCGATCGCAATCCTGCTTTTCTCCTTCTTATCTTCCCTTTAGTGTATTTTGGTTATTCTCAGACTATGTTAGTCTTGCTATTTTTAGAACAGTTTGTAGTAGTTGCTCATGACTTAGTGATACCCCGATGTCGGGCTTTCTTTTCCGCACTTTTGTTTTGATTTGAACTCCTTATGAAAGTTTTATATAAAATAGCTTTGGGATTATCTTGAAAATGAAAATATCATTTTATTTTGGGACGACCGGATTAGTTTTTGGTGTGACAAGTTGGTATCAGAGCCTAGGTTACATAAGCTCACGAGTCATGAGCGGGTTTCGTAGAGTCTTGCGGATCGGTACAGAGACGTTTGTACTTATCTTCGAGAGGCTGTGGAACCTTTAGGAAAACTTCACATTTTTGAATTTTTGTCATGCGAATCTGTTGATTCTGGTAACTAAACTTCTGTTATTTTATTCTCTCACAGATGGTGAGGACACGTGCTACCGATCAGGACGGAAGGCCACCAGTACCACCAGTTGGGGGCGCTAAAGGCCGAGGCCGTGGTAGGGGCAGAGGCAGGGGTGTAGCCCGCACAACAGCTAGGGCAGCACCTACAATCCACCAGCCGCCCCAGTTCATGATCAGGTCCCAGTTGTGGATGCACCAGCGGGACCAGCTCAAGCACCGGCTGTGCCTATGTTATTCCGGGTCTTCAGGAGACCTTAGCGCAGATTCTGATCGTGTGCGCCAGTCTTGCTCAGTCGGTCTCTGTTACTACTATGTCAGCTACTTCCCAGGCCGGGGGAGGCACTCAGACTCCAGCCGCTCCTATACCCGAGCAGGTTGTTCAGGGACTTCAGACACCGGGGTACCACCAACCCAACCGGTTGCACCTGCTTAGGATTATGTGGTTCCAGCCATGCCCGATGACGAGTAGCGTAGATTGGAAAGGTTTGGTATACTTTAGCCTCCGACTTTTAGTGGTACAGAGGGCGAGGATGCCCAGGGTTTCTTGGAAAAGTGTTAGAGGATTCTCCGCACAA